TCAAGAAGAGTATGCGGTGAGTTGGTGTCGCCACAATTCAAAAGCACAGCGTTAATTTTATAACATAAACTTCTGGTGTTCCAATCATCCTATTCATACATGCCCCACAATATGGAATTAGGAGAGACATGGGGAAATGCGAGTCTGGGGAAAAGCAACTTTCCAACGCTGCGTCCATCAGCAATTTAACGCCTCGCTCTGTCGTCTTCCTTCTTGTGACGAGTGTAATGTTGAAGTTAGAGCCACTTCTCCACTTTTAGAAAGACGTGGCTGAAACGTCTGAAGGCCAGGAGAGTTGACCCGTGGTGAGAAGATGGCTCTTTGCCGGCATACGTCACCCCTGCTGGTGTGGGTCCCTGGTCAGGAGACCATTTCACGTCATTAGCTTATAGAAACATGAGGCACAGGGGAAGGGCATCACGCCCCTTGGCAGATTCTAGAGTCACCTGGAGAAGTGACTCATTGTCAGCAGTGCCCTGGAAACCAGTCCCTTCAAGTGAATGCACAGCCGTATTTAGGGCCGCTTTGGACCTGAGCACCGGTCTTGGCCCCAGCTTTTCCAGCAGTGTAGGAGCTTGCCCGTGTGTCTGTAGTTGCAGCCGAGCTGAACCTGCCACATTGTGTTTAGAGGCCTCGTTGTGTGAAGAACCTGTTTCCTTGAATAGGAGACTCCAGGAACCACACGGTCTGGTGCTCACAGCCTGACAGGAGCCTCTCCAAGGGGACAGACTGCGGTCCCCAGAGCCTAGGCTCCCACTTCTACTCAGGGACAGTGGGGACATTAAAATGGTTAGTGCTATCTGGGGAGTTTATTGGGGTGTGAGAGAGATCCATCCTTATTTCTTAAATTTCAATTCACGACATGCCTCCTATATTTGTCTTTGGTTTTATCTGACTTGTATAAACTGGCAAATAACCTAACTGAGTTTGAACAAAGATGGATAATTCTTCAAATTTTACAGGGGAATTTAATTAAGTTTGAATTACAGCGCTTTATTTTCAAAATGTGTTTGTTTTAAAATGACTTGAGCTCTAATAAGAGTTGGAAGGTGACACAGGGCTCCCAAACACCCTTCACCCACCTGGTCAGTGTCAAGACCCTGCACGGCCACAGCATGGCGACCAGATCCAAGACGTGGATGCAGGTCCGAGGCTGCTGACAACATCTCAGGGCTCATCCCGGTGTCGCCAGCTTTTCCATCTGTGTCCTTTCCTGCTCCAGGACCCAGTCCTGGCACCGTGCAGCCTGTGCCCTTGGGGGTCATCAGGCCCCTGAGTCTCCTCTTCCCGTCCATGTTGTTCTCTTAAAAAATAAACTTATAAATTTAAAAATACAAAAAGCAAACAGCGTGTGCACACACACGCACACACACACACACGCACGCACGCACACACGCACGCACCAGGCACCAAAAGATAAACACTTCATGATCTCCTTTCTATATGGAATTTTAAAAATGTTGAACTCATGGAAACAGAGAGTGGATGGTGGACACCTAGGGTGGGAGGCAGGTGTGGTTGGGAGGCAGGTGTGGTAGGGGAAGTGTGGTGTGGGCAGGCGCCATTGGGGGCAAGTGCCAGTGGGGGGCAGGTGTGGTAGGTAAGCAGGTGTGGTGGGGGGCAGGTGTGGTGGGGGACAGATGTGGGTGGGGGCAGGTGCAGTGAGGGGGGAGGTGTCTTGGGGGCAGAAAGAAGTCCATCAAAGGTGAGGGTTTCAGTTGTGGGTAAAAACGTGGGATCTAATGTGTAGCTTGGCGACAGTAGTTAACAATACTGTATTGTTTATTTGAAAATTGCTAGAATAGATCTTAAGTGTTGGTATCACACACACAGAACGATGAGTATGTGAGTGCTGTGTATGTTAATTAGCTTGATTTAATCACCCCACAGTATTTGCATGTATCAAAACATCACATGAGTATAAATATATGTAATTTTTATTGTTAATTATAGCTTCATGAAGCTCGGGGTGGGGAAAACTAAAACAGAAAAGCTAATGGCAAGAGAAAAGGGCAATATCAGGCTGTGGTTTGAAGACTGCACTAAGCAGTCACACCCTGGCCATGTGTCAGGTGAGTGCAGCGAGAGACCACCCTGGATCCCTCCTCTGTGACGGTCACGGGGAAGGGTCCATTCCGTGGTGGTCCTGGGTCCCGGTTCGGGAGAGCCTCTTGTCTGTGGACAGAACACAGAATGCCTGCAGGGAGAAAGGTGGCATTTGTGTGGAGGCATCCAGTGACACGTGTGATCTGCTGCTTCTCATGCATTGATCAAGGTATTCAGCTAATCAGATTTCCCCAGGGTATCAAATAGTTCACTGGCACTTACCTTGCCAAAGAAATGGAAGCAGTGCTTGCTGTCTTCTCGGTGGGTTCGAGGTTGGACCACAGGGCTGGGGCCACTCCTTCAAACGAGGTTCCCCCATCCTGCTACGAGTGTGTATTCTTTTCTTTTCTTCTCATGGCTAAAGCTGCCCTTTCTCACTGAGTCTGTCCCTGGAACCTCTCAGCTCTGCGTTGCTGGGTGGCCACATCTGCCAAATGCTCCCACCTGACAGAGACGGGAGGCTTCGCTCAGATGTTTAGATGCCTCTCTTTAATTCTTCCATGATGTGACACCCTCAGGTTTTCAACTTTCCCTGTGGAACTCTTCCTTCCCAAGTCCCCCAGCCTCTTCCTCAAAAATGTGTGCCATGCAGCGGGTCTTCTCCATGCCAGTGCTTCTCAGAGTTTCCCACTCACCTCTCAGCATTTCCAGCATCACTGAAGCTTCTGTTTTACTTGGCACATTATTTATATTGTTTAATTAGTATTAAACACATAATATAATCTAGCCGAAATATGTATTTCCAAATGATGGGTACATTTCTCATATTTGTGCTGGATCAAATGGTAAGAGCATCCTAGAGGGGAGGCTGGAAAACGCCCCGGAGAGGTGGTGTGGGGGCTCAGCCTCCCGGGGCCGGCCGTGCACGCAATCCCCTCTCCCAGGTCGCCCTCAGCACTGGGCGTTTTCAAGTGTCCTGTGATGGAAAGGAACGTCTGGTCAGCGTTCTATTCACAGCTTCATGCTCTCTTCTCCAAACTCTCCCTTGAGTATTTGCAACACACACTGCCTTATTTTGCCACACACCTGTCTGACTGTGTGAAATTCCCGTGAATGCCTTAACAAATGACCACACGCTTAGTGACTTTAAACAACACAAGTTTACCCCATCGGCTCTGGAGGTCACAGATCCAAATGCACCCGTTTTCAGCAAGGCCAAGGGACAGGGCTGGCTTTGCCTGGAGGCCCTGGGAGACCCTGCTGTGGCCTCCTCCGGTTTCTGGAGGCTCACAGCCACGCCCCTGGAATCTCGGTTTCTGTACTCACCTCCCCCTTCCTCCCCACAGGCTTTCCCACCTGTGTCTTGTAAGGAGCCGTGTGCTAACACTGAGGCCAGTGGATAATCCAGGTCAATCTACCCACCTCCGAATTCTTACCTGAATCCCATCTGCAAAGCCCCGTTTGCCAAGCAGGGCACAGCCACAGGCTCCGGGGCTGCATCCCCCTTGGACGCTGGTGCTCTGAGCACACTACTCTAGAGTCTTTTCCACCCACATTCTCTCACGAAGAATCCCATTCACTCACATTCCGCTGCCGTTTCCCCACTCAGGGCTCCCAAATGTGTCTCTTTAAGCTGGACTCCACCCAACGGCTGAAAGTACATTTCCAAAAGCCCAGGGGCTCACTGCCCACCTGTGCCACGGAACCTCCAACACAAGGTCCAAGCCTGAGCCTGCTGCTCTGCTTTCCATAGCCAGCCTCCCTTCTCTGCCCTTCCTAGGTCAGTACGTGAGATTAGCACTCGCTCAGGCATCAAACCAAGGATGGCCGAGTCCTCAGAGGCTCTCTGCTGTTCTCCTGTTCCCAATAACAGCCCGCCATGAGCCCTGGAATTCTCCTAATGAGCCTCCAAGTGCTGTCCATGCTCTCTATCCAAACCCCACCCTCCTAGGGACCAGTCTCAGGCCTGTGGAGGATAATTCACTGCTGACTGACCCCTCCAGGCTCTTTGGATCTTGAATAACTCATTCGTTACCTTCCCAGGGAACTTTTAAAGACCAATCATCATATTCTTGGGCCTCAGAACATCTTCTAGCAAACAGACTAATATTCAGAAGTCTTTGCCTCATGTTACAGAATTTAATTTCGAATTACATAAAGGAAGTATCAATCACATTTGGAGAGGGAAAAAGAGGAGAAAGACGAAGATGATTTTCACAAAGTAGAAAGGTAAAGGACTTCCGCGGGGCCCAAAGACGCTCAACGTCTCAGGAGAGGGTCGTTGAAGACACGCCGCTTTTTCACTTTCATGATGAGATGCAGCCCGAAAACAGATCAACCACAAAGACCTGACCTCTCTCAGCTTTTGAAACGCCGTCGTGGTGACCTTCCTACTGTGCGCCTCGGGTGCGTGATGCGGATTGCGGGGAGAACACTGTCTGCATGCTGGCGAACATGTGCTGGACTGTGCTCATTTTTCACCTCAACAAACTGGAAAAAAAAGTGTATTTTATCCACCTCGTAGTGATAAGAAAACTGAGGGCTCAGGGCAGAAAGGAACAGGCTCCGAGCTGCAGGCGAGCCCTCGGTGGCCCCGGGAGCTGCACCCGTCCCAGTCCCCAAAAGAGTCACGTCCCTTTTCACAGGGTATTTAACTGCAGAAAAAGAGGAAGGCGGTGTCACCGGGGCGGATTTAGTTATTCTTTCTCCTTGTGTAAGTTTTTTCCCTGTTCTTCCTGACTCACACGGCCAGAGGCCGGACCGCACGTGAACCCTGTGACACGGGACTTTGTTTCTGACCCATCAGGACACACAAGAGCCCTGGCGCACGCACAACAGAGCCCGCGGACATTCCGTTCCTGCAAAGAGTGGAGGCCACTCCACCTGCTGGCATCTTGACCGGGCATCAGAGCGCGGAGTTGGCTTATAAGGCGGGTAACTGAGTCCCCGGGAGGCAATTGCAGCGACATTTCAGAAGAGTCACAGCCACGGATAAAGTACCCAAAGGTGCAGGTGGCCGAGGAGAGAAAAAGGTCAGGCTGTAAAGCTTTTCATCTTTCCATCTTCTAAGAGAAATCCATCATTGAAACTTGAAAGTGGTCCAGCAGAGGCTGTCATGTGGGCCATCGTGGCAGGTCTGGGTGGCGTCTCTTAGCAAGGCCGGCTGGCTGACTGGTGACCATGGCTGGGACGCGCGGGTCCTGGAGGGCCAGTTCACAGGTCATCGTCCACTGAGACACGTTCCTTCACGCGGGCTCACTGGTGCTACCTGCTTAGCAAGATTACTGGCTCGAAGTAGCCACAGAACCCCAAGATAAGAAAACAAGGATTTGAAGTAGAAATGGTGGATTTTGAATCTTCGGTTTTGTCTTAACAACTTAATTTTGAAATCATTTTATGGACATAAGAATGTTTTAAGAAATTCAACAGGCATTTAGGAGTTCTATTTATCACTTTTTAAAAGGCTAAGTTTCTAATAGTATTCACTTTTTGCCTCATAGATATATTAGGGGAAACAGATTTTTTTTTTCATTCCCAATAATTATTCCTAGTAAGTTGATACTGTGTGACGTTACCAGACATTTAAATAGGCTGTTACTGAGATACTTTGGCAAGTGGAGCTGCCAAATGTAAAAACTCTGCCTGTGAATGACCAGGGCCTAGGGGACCTGCTCAGTGCTGCGGCTTCTGCGCACCTCCCGACAGGGACGGCGACTCTGGCCTCGCAGACCCCACGTCTGTGAGAGCCGCCTGCCGCAGTGGAGGCTGCGTGGAGTCGGGGGAGCGGTTCCCACGGCCTTGCCGCTGCTTGACCGCACACTCTGTTTCCTTCTGTTAATTTTAGAATGAGAACACTCGCTGTCCTGGCTGCCACGCTGGTTCTGGCCTGCACGGAAGCCTTCTTCCCGTTCATCTGGAGAGGCAAAGAACTCCTTTGGGGTAAGCAGCAAATACGTTGTGGTCTTCTGGCCTTATAGAGTTACTTTTCTCACTTACCGAAATAGAGGGCATAATGGCAGCTCTTGAGGGTCAGTTTAGGCCCCTGTGGCATATGTTTTGTTATGCTTCAGAAAAGAATTGTAATTCCTGATTTTAGAAGATGAAAATACTGTACATTTCTTTCTTTAAAAAGGAACTGATTTTCCTGGGATGACACAGTAGAAAATTTTGACTTTTACCTATTCATATATATTTTTAAAAAATTTCTTTGGGAGTGTTTTTCTTCTGCTGCTACAAAATTAGTTTTTGTTAAATAACTTTTGAGATATATTTTCCAGTCTGCTACAATGTGAAAACAGGTTAAGAAAGCTGCTAAGATGCAGTGGTTAAAATAATCACAGATCAAACTCTTTGCTTATGCTAAATAAATAAACTCTTCACTTTTGCCAAAATGAAGTCCCAACCCTGAGAACACGTTTCACTGGAGCAAAGCCTGTGGGGGCGTCTGCCTGGACGTCCCCACCCCACAGACACCGCTGGCCTGGGAGCAGGTGACTCCTCGCTGGGCAGGTCCCTGGGCCTCCGGACACGGTCCCAGGGCCGCAGCGCAGCACTAGGACCTCTGCCCTCGACAGCCTTTCCCAGGCCTGCAGGCCTTGTCTGTGGTTCAGGGGCACAGGCTCTGGAGTCCTCGCCGCTCCCAGACACACCCAGCCCAGCCTCTTGCGGGGGCCACATTTTCTTCCCAATTTTCTGCATCTCAGGACTTCATAGTCATATTAGGAGCTGCCATGAAGTCCCTAACAGACTCATAGGCTCCTTAAAGAACGCTCTCCCTCCAAGCCTCCAGGACGTGCTGGTCACTGCCCACTCTGAGATGGAGGAAGCCACGGGGCCTTTCCCTGCCAGCTTCCATCCATGCTGCAAGGATGTGCTACTCACCCCTAATTCCTGCCCCTCACCTGAGCACGGATAACACTGGAAAATTACCCATCACCATCATTATTCATGAGCAAGAATGAGATACTCCATTTAAGGCTGAAAGTGCAGTGCTCTGGCAAACACTAAAGAAGAAAATTAAATCAGAGTCACAATATCAAGAACCTCAGGAAAAAGTGATTCTGCATCTTCCCAGATTAAATCAGTCACTCTGTCACCCAGAACATGCCAGGTGCTCAGCCAGTGGTTTGTAAATTAATTACTGTTATTTTATTTCATATGTATTAAGGATCTGGATATATAAAACCATAGTAAAGCATGTTAGAAGTCAGGAGCTAGTTATGAGCAAGTCGTTGTACTTGAGAGCTACTCAAAAAAATATTTAAAACTTTGTAACATGTTTTTCATTTTAAAAATCACATTTAAAAAGCCATCAGGAAGGCAGGATCCACAGCTTTTGCTAAAGCATTTTTTTAGAATTATTTTTCCATCTGTGAGACATTTGACCTTTTCCTTTTGCTTACACGTTTGCTTAATACGTGACGAGTGCACAGCATGACAGCTGACAGTTTCTCTGCACACTGGGACACATCCTTCTGCGGGCCCATGCCAATGTTTCCAAGCTGACTTGTTATTTATTTGAAATGTGAAGGAGTCACATAAAAAATGTTATGTGTCTCACAGGGTTTCAATTTTACATCCTTTAAGAGTTGTTTTACAGTTTTAAATTCGTTTGGAAAATGATGATGCCCAGTGACTATTGTGTGTTTATGACACCTGTGCTCACAGACTCTGTGAAGCAAAAGCCTCAGCCTGCTGCCCAGCCTCTGCACGGCAGGGCCACGAGGACCCCGGTTCCCCAGGCCACGTGCGGTCACCTGTAAGCAGACAGTGCTCCACAGGGGTCCTGCTTGGCAGGTGGCTTGCCCAGTATTTGTCAGGCACCCATTTTACAGATCAAAACATAGAGGTCAGGAGTGCTCAGAAGTGGCAAGGCTGTGGTCACTCAGCCTCACGTCCCAGATCTTCACAGAGAGCCAACATTCATCCTCATACTTGAACTGTGATGATAAGTGCTGCTCAGTGAGAAGTATCAGGCCAGTGAGGTGGCTCACACCTGTAATCCCAACACTTTGGGGGGCCGAGGTGGGAAGATCCCTCGAGGCTAGGAGTTCAAGACCAGGCTGACCAACATGGCAAAACCCCATCTCTACTCAAAAGTAGCTGGACATGGTGGTGTCCATCTGTCATCCCAGCTACTCAGGAGGCTGAGGCGCGAGAATCAGTGGAACGCAGGAGGTGGAGGTTGCTGTGAGTGGAGATCATGACACTGCACCCCAGCCGAGGTGACAGAGTGAGAATCTCAAAGACAGAGAGAGAGAGAAGAAAAACCTCAGTCCTGGAGAGAGTATATGGGTTTGCCAACTTGTCTGTAAATTGTAGGAAGATGTGAATAAGGAGGGGAAGATCTCGGCAGGTTCTCAGACTGGGAGAGACTCTTGTTCCAGGGCAAGATCTCCCAGGGCCAAACCACAAAGAGAAATGAACTTCAGCACCTGAAAAATTCTGTAACAAGAGCCTTTGAAAATCGAAAAAGATTTCATTTCCCCCCAAAATCTATGCATGCCCCCTGTCATCCAAGAGAAGTTTGCTCTCAATCCCTTCTCTAAAGTGCTGAATTGAGTGCTCACACCGGAGCCCTGGGTGTTTATCGCTACACAGACTGAGCTGCAGTCCAGCATTCGTGTAAAATCAAGATTTATGTGTGATTATCTTTATGGCAAATGTTCCACAAGTGACAGTGGTTAAAAGAAAATAAGATGCAAATGAGCAACGGGAAGCGGAGGCAGTGCCCGCGGACTGGGAAGACAAGGGGAGCTTGCCGAGCGAGTGAGTTTGTTTAAAAAGGAAAGTTGGCAAACCTTCCCCCAGTTTATAAATTTTGGCCAACAGCAATGATTAAAGTGAGGATCAACACTCAACTCTGAACGGAAATCAAGTGCTTAGAATCAGTCAGGGGCAAAGCTCTGGTCCTGGGGCCTTATGGTTTTGGTGAAGAAACATTTTGGCTTTCATATATATATACATATTTTTTTTTTTACATGAACAGTCTTTGGAACAAGGCAACTTCCTTCTTCTTTCTGAAATACAGTGTGTTCTTGCATAATGCATCCCTGAATCCCACCTGTTTAATAAACAATATGAATGTGCATAAAGGAGAATTTGGGGGACCCGTGCCTTGCGCCTCTCAGAGCAGGAGCAATCTTGTGAAGGCGCAGGCAGAGAGCATCGGGCCACTTCTGCAGAGCAAGTAATTAAGTCCTGTGACTCCCTAGAATTCAGTGTTCAGTTCTGAAAAACATAAGGGTCAGGTTCAAACTCCTTAAGTCTATGGTCCCTGCATCCGATTCCTCTTCCCTGGGACTGCTTGGCACGAGGAAGGAAGGGCAGCTGCAGGGCTGACGGTGGGAAGGGGCTCAAAGCCGGCCACCCAGCTCACTGGTGCGGGAGAGCTAATGTGAGCTGCTGGAAACTGAGAATAATAAGATGCAGGAAAAGCTGTCTGCAACCCCCCGTTTGCCTAAAAGTAGAACATAAATCCGCAAAAGTGTCCCCTTCCCTCTCCAGCAGAGCCCAGGCCCTCAACAGCCTGGAACCAGCCCAGAGGCATTTGTGTGGGGAGCCTGCCTGCAGTCCCAGCCTCCCTTCCCGTAGCTGCCCTGGAGCGGCCTCCTCGCAATGTGTTTCCTGGGAGCTCAAAGTCCTTCGCTTTGGTCTTGCAGCTTCTTGGAAATGGGGTGTTCTTTTGCTGAGGGGCTGTGCAGCGGAGTTCTAACTGTCCCTCCAAGTTTCCATCTCGGAAAGCAGGAGGCCAGGTTAGTAACCCCCTGTGGGTTTTCCCCTTGTGAATGAGCCTTTTGTCAGTCGAATTTAAAATGCCCCAGGAAATTAATCTAAGATGCAGGGAGCACTGAGTTTCCTTCCTCCCCTGCAGAGGGATGCCAGGCATCTCTTCAGCCAAGAAGCAGTTAACCCAAACAATGCAAACACTGCTGATTCCAATAGAGACTTGAGACATCTGATGAGAATTATGTGTCTCTGGCAGGAAGTTTTAATACAAAAATGTATTTATTTTATGAAACTTAAAAGATAATAATCTGTAAGCCTATAAAAATATTATTTTAATTCTGTAAAATATTTTCCAATCAGAAAAGAAACTAGAGACTAAGCAACATGTGACCGGTTAAACTTAAATAACAATATATTAATATTGATGAATAACAGAAAATGATCTCTCTAGTAACTGCCATTTCCAAGCATAGTAGAAAAAGATAAGCATTTATTTGTATTTAATCATTTGCTTCCTAAATAATTATCAAGTGCCTGCTGAAAACCAGCCTTTGGTCTCAGTTGTGAATAGCGCAGAATTTTGCAGAACCCTCACGGATAAAATGCACATACACAGGGTGTGAGTGAGAGAGCTAATTTTTTTTCTGGTTTCTAAAGATCAGTAGGATCAAAATTTCATAAAGGAAAAGCTGGGAGCTTGAGGTTGACAATGTCGTGAGATGAAGGACAATCGTACTCTATGTCCTCAGCTCTGCAGCGTGGAGGTCGGTCTTGGCCAGGCCGTGGACGTCCTGAATCCTGAGCAGGGCCTGCGTACCATTCCATGGGCATCCAGAGCCTTCAGATGCTTTCATCAAAGGCACAGGCACAGGCAGGCCTTGTTCTAGAAAGGCCGCTTGGGTGACAGCAGAAGGGACAGGAGGACGGGAGGTGGGGGGATCAGTGCAGGAGCCTGTCGAGAGCTCCTTCTACTGAGGCAGTGGAACATGAGAGTTGCAGGGGCCAGGCAGGAGTGAGACGTTCTTCCAGAGGGGCTGTGGGAACATCAGCACAGCATGGTGAGTGAAGGGCAGGATAGACCACGCCTGGGTTTCTTGCTGGGGGACTGGAGTGGGCAGGGGGATTATTTCAGGCCATTAACTCCCCTCAGTGGGGAACAGAGGAGGATGGCGTGGCCCGGGAGAGGCGTTCAAGTTGAAAACAGGCATTTATTTGGGAGAGGACGAAAGCAGGGTGAGAGGAGAGGGTAAAGGTCAGAGGAGCCAGAAATGCACCTGGGGTGACGCCAACAGGAGGGAGACCACTGAGGGAAGAGAACCTGGGGCTGCAGCTGAGACAGCGGCCAGAGGCTGGAAGCAAAAGGCGAGGGGGGTTGGGAGCACCGAGCACTTCCCAGGCCGCGGTCAAGGGCCCTGACAACTTCTCCAAAACATCCTATGACGTCACTCTGTGGCCAGCGGAGAAAACCGTGCAAGGTGAAGTGATCTGCTGCGTCACATGGAGGCAGATTGGTCTCACTCCAGAACCCATGGCCGTCACCCCTCTGCCACTTAGGAATGCCAGAACATCCCAAAAGCACCAGAGTCTTGCCTGGGGTGAGCAGCGGGGTGGGGCCACTGCTTCAACAAATAAGCTGCCATGGCTGACCTCAGAATACAAACTGTGAGCTGAGTTGCCTGGGAAATTGCAGTGGGTTTAGAAGGAAATAAGGAAAATAAATGAAAATTCCAAGTGTCTTATACCTCAAGCTTTTGCGGAAGAGGAGGTTCCCTGGCTCTTGAGAGCTGAAAGGCATCTTGGTAAAGCCCTGAATGCTGGTCCTTGAGGTCTGCCTCTGCCGCCGGTCCTGTGATGACCAGGCTGCCCTTCCTGTCTCCGCTGCTACTCACTCCCAGGGGCATCTGTCCCACCCGCCCCCCCACCCCATCTCACTTCCCCGAGCTCGCCCACGCTGGTGCGAAACTGGGTCCCCTGTTCAGACTCCACACCCAGAGCCTGCAGCTCTGCTGGCTGTGCTGTGGGACCCTGATGGAGCTGTGAGCCCAGCTGGGTGCCCCTCCCTCCCTCCTGCCCTTGCTCCAGGAAGCCCCACACCGGGGCCTCTGTGCATTGCTCTCTGCCCAACTCTGAGGGGTCATCCTCTGCCCCGAGTGCTTAACCACTGGAAACTCATCCCAGAACCCCAAGAGAGATCCGCCATGGAGTTTTCCTAACCTGACTGTGTCACACGAAGAGAAATTGGGTGGTCCAGGGAATGGACGGGGCGGGGCAGGGTGAGTAGGAAGAAGTGACGGGGGAGTTTGTTTGCTGCCTGGGTGGGGACCAGCATGGAAGGCGCTTGGGGCTGAAGCCTTGAAGAACCTGCAGGCGCCTCTCCTGGGCCAACCTCCTGCAAACGCCCCGCTGGGCTGTGCGGAGAGCAGGAGCCTGGTGTCCCCTCAGGGACTTGTATTTGCTTTTGAAATCCATTCATTTCCCTTGATGGAGTGTTGATACTACACGAGTGAATTCGGCAGCCGTGTGTGACGGTGACCGAAGCACTTGCCATCTTCCTGTTACCCGTCTAGAACTTCACATTTTTACCCAGAAATGGGGTCTTAACCTCTTAAACGTTCCAGGTACTACAACAAGTAACACAGGAGTGAATGTTTTCATTGGAAACTGCTGGTATAATGGAATTATTTTATCTTTTATTAAGTACACAAATAAGATAGGCAAATCTTATTATCAACTTTACTGCTAGTTTGGTAACCAGTGATAAATATTCAGAACATAAGTTACTCAGAATCATTTGAGTGACTTGGGCAAGTGAGAAATTAAGGTGAGCGACTCACCTGTCCCATCCTCCAGGCAGCTCCGTGTGGGGGGAATGGACGCCCCTCTGTACGGGGAAGCCAAGGCTCTAGAGGGGAAGCGACCCCCAGGACTTGGCCAGCCCGCCTGCCCCGGAAGCTGTGTGGACAACACCATGGCAGCGTGGGCTTGAGGGGCAAAGCAGCAGTGTCAGGGATTGCCAAACTGTCATTGCGCTGTGATTGTGTAATCCTCTGTTTCTAGGAAAGCCTGCGGAGTCTCGCATTGCCAGCATCCTGGAGGAAAGCAAGTGCCTGGTGGACACCGCCATGTATACCACCATGCAGAGGTGAGCCCTGTAGAGGGGCCTCCGCCCCCAATGCCACCTACAGGCACATCCCCCCGACATCAGCACATGCGTGGCCTGATTTTCACAATTGCAAATGAAAACCTGAAGCTTGCCAGGGCTAATTTACTTTCCCAGTGCCCCATGTAAGCAGCGGACAGAACTGGTATTTAATCTCCTATTCGTTCTTTAGCAAGACAGAGAGGAAGAGACCATGACCCAATCAACACTTACAGATACGGCATCCTCTGTTGGTCCAGGTCCGCTCTATTGTTACATATTTCCTGGATTCTCAAAACACAGTAGAGGCACCTGATAGCGAAAGGGGCCTCTCTCCTCAAGGATCAGGACAGATTAAGGACAAAAGAGAGACCTAGATCCAGGTCTTTGGTGATGTCGCTGTAACATTACCCGCGGCATATAATAAATAATTAAATGGAGCTGGCTTCCATTTTTTAGATACTTAGCACTTGTAATTACATAACAGCCGCCACTATTAAGGATACTGTGGTCTCATATTACCCATTCAGAAAAAGAAAAGAAAAACAGAAAACCTGTGAAGCAGTTTGTCCTTCCACGCTTATTATTTTGTAGAAAGTTGACTCATAATTATATAAGCTCTTGAGATACAAAGTATCAAAAGACAGCAGTTAATGTATTCCAAGGTTCTATTATTTCAGCCAGAAAAATACCTTATTGTTCACATTGGCTGCAAACAAATTGTTATTTATTTCCTAAAAATTGAATCAAAGGAAAAAATATTTCTCATAAACTCATGCACACTGTAATATGTGTAAAACAGGCAGGAGTTACTTGGGAAGAGGTGGGAGTGGGGAGTGGGGTGGGTACCGCATGTGTAGTTAGGAGTGTGAGCTGCTCTTGTAGTGGCAATTTGTGAACCCAAGTGTTAGGACAGATGGCAATCTGTTTACAACGTTTATTTTGCCAAGGTTAGGGAAGAGCCTGTGTCACAGTGTCAGGAGGTCCTGAGGACATGCACCCAAGGTGGCTGGGGGAAAGCTGGCTTTTACACATCCTAGAGAGGCATAAGACGTCAATCAACACCTGTCAGATGGACATGGTGGGGAGCTTCGAGGGCGTAAGCAGACGTCACATTTTTCTGATTGGCAGTTGGTTGAAACAATTCTATCAACAGGAAGGAATGTCTGGGTGGCCTTAAGGCTTGTGGGCACCAAGCTTTTATGATGAAGCCTCCAGGTTAGCAGGCATCCCGGAGAAAAGGTCGTGAATGTTTCTGATCAGACTTAAGATCTGTGCTGATGTTGATGCCGGTGGGTAGAATGAGGCACATCCAACCCGTGACTTTCCCATCACAGCCTGAACCAGCTTCTCTGGTTAACTTTGGAATGCTCTTGGCTGAGACGAGGAATTCACTCAGGTGGTTAGGGGAGGACATTAGCATCTTATTTTTGGTTTACAAACTGCATGTTACCCTTTTGAAATCAATGCCTTGATCCTAAGGATGCATTGGAGTGGGGAAGCCAGGGAGAGGAGTCCGCTGCAGAGACTCTTGGCAAGATTTGCCTTTGGAGAGCTCCCAAAAAATACCCATATACCTATTCCAACTATGTTTCTTTCCTTAAGAAATACTGTTTCTGCTGAGGAACAGTCATTGTTCTAGGTGCTGGGATACAGAGATGAATCCTATCATTTTATATTCTCAAAGGTCCCTGCCCCTTCTGTAAAGACAGACACCTGAGTGGTGCACTTCATTTAGGAATGGGTTTGTTACAGATCATCAGAAAACATGATGGCTGGTGGTCAGAGAACTGGCTCTGAGTAAAAGTTTTAATAATAATAAAATGCTTTTACCCTTCAAAACACATCTAGTTACTTAAGAGCTGAAAAGGAAAACAAAACTTTTCTAAATAATAATATCGGAAGCGAGAGAGTGCCGAAGTTACTTCTTCCACTCGCTGGTGGACGGTGGTGTGGCCCGGGCGTTTGGAAAGTGATATGAAAGCACAGAGCCTGCCTGTGAAAGTGCTCATGAAAAAGGAGCATCTGAGACTCCACCCTTCGCCCTCAGGCATCGCTTCACTTACCTGGGGTCGGGGCGGAGGACTTTGCTCCCAAAGTAGATGCAGGCAGAGTTTGAGTGTCTGTCCTCATTCCCTGAGACCAGCTCCTGCAGAGCAACGGGAAGGAGACCAGGACAGGCTGCACACTGGGGAGGGGGCCCTGTACCTGGGGTCCCGGATCTTTATAATGTGCAGTGAGCATGCTGGCCCAGGCTCTGGGGAACAGCATCCCTGTTTGACGGGAGAGTGTGCAGCATGTTCTGGAGGAAGATACCGCCTCCAGGAAGGCAGGGGAGGGTTCCGGGGCCTGTGGCCCATGCTGCACCGGCAGCCAGGTTCACCTGCAGCAGCAAGACCCTGCAAGGGCAGCAGGCAGGGGTAGGACCTGCCCATCCATTGTGTCTGGGCCACCTGGCCAGGTATGGCTGCTAGTGAGTGGCCCCATGAGTGTGTGGCGGTGGGAATGAGCATGGCCTTGACCTGGCAGGTGCCCCTAGGACAGGGCAATGTGCATTGATCCCACCATGGCAGAGAGTGGGCACTGCCTTGAGGAGCAAAAGCCTCTGGACTCATGCAGCTTCCTGCAAGGGCCTCACCAGGCCACACTCAGTTGAGGAACCGATCCTGAATGAGCTAAAACTTGCACTTATTTGCCTTTAAAACAAAGTCTAAACCCCAGTCACTCTGAGTGTGCTTTTTTTTTTTTTTCTCTCGCTCTCTCTGAGGGCTGCACACAGTTCCTGCCTCAGATTTGGTCCCTGAGTAGGGTGGGAGCAACTCCCTCCCTTTCTCCCCTTCCTAATTGTATAATTTTGGCAAGGGCAGAAGAAGCATTTGCACGAGGAGGGTGTGGGTCCGGGGAGGCCAGAGGCAGAGGAACCACACGCTCCCGTCGGTCTCAGTGGCTCACCCATGCTCTCTCCAGGATCATATTCCTTGAGCAGTAAATTTGTTCCTTCTCAGCATTCAGGGACAGTTTCCAGTATTCAGAATTCACTGTGAGTTCCAGAGTATATTCACTTAGATTGGTGATATCATGTGCATCTGTTTAGTGTTCATAGTCAGACGTTCTGGGCATTGCTGGGGCAGCAGATAGAACAGCTAAAGGAGTGTTTTTACTCAGTCAGTGAAGCTTCTGGATGGTGTCCACGAGCCAAGAGCGACCCGGAGAATCAGTGTGAACACATGTTCGACGCATGGCTCTTCCTTGGGCTCCACACACTAAGAATGCGAAACCAGCTGGAGTCACAGTTCCCCTAACTTGAGTTTGATTTTCAGATATTGTGCTGCAATTAAAAGCCTGCAAGGGTGGCCTCTTAATATCCTGCTCGTGCTGAAGCCGAGGTCTACAGGAACATGTGTCTGCCTCTGGAATGACCCACGGCTGTGGCCCCTGGGAAATAACTGCAGATGAACAGCACAGAATGCTGTGGCTTGTGGGATGGTTGAAGCACCTCTCCAGGCTCTCCTGAACTGAGCTCCCTGTAGGCTAAGCTCTGCAGAACGTGGACACGACAGGACAGTGACCAGCCAGCGAGGTAGCGCCCTCTGGGCTGCATGGCAGTGCAGGGACAGGAAGGGCTGGCATGAGCAGCGTGGCCTGGGGACCCATCCAGTGGACCCAGTGAATGAGATGCTCCAGGACATGGTCAGGAGCTGAGCGGTTTCCCAGACCCCTGTTTCCCTGATGTAGCCCTTTTGGTGCCAGCTTGTGTTGTCCCATGGGTGCCAGGTGAGAGAAGGGATGAGACAGGTGAGCCCTCGAGTGGGTGATGTTCTAGGAGGCACAGAAAGTGGATTTCATCAGAAGCAGTGCCCTTGGCCTTCAGATCTCAGAGATTCTCGTTCTTCCTATCAGCCAAATTTCTTGCTCAGATAGATTTTAGATAAATGTCTCCAAGAAAAGCATGCATTTTGGGGAGGGTCACTGTCCTGTCCTCCATGCCGAGTCATGGGGAACCCCACAGGTGCTTATGCTCCGGCTCTGCTGCTGTGAGTGACAAAGTCATTTGTTCCTGGTGAGGGGGGGCCTTCAAGTGAGGGGAGGTCTGCAGGTGAGGGGGCTGCAGGTGAGGGGTATCTGCAGGTGAG